AACGCCGATTCCCCATAAAAGTAATAGCTCCAATGCCGGGAACAAGCCGCACGTTTTGATACCACTTTTGTGGGTGGGCTCGCAGCGGTGCGAGCCGCATTCCGGTCTACGGAAGAATAAGTTATAATAATAATAATAAAGAGACATTCTATTGGGTGAAGATTAATAGGTGCCTGCCATGCAATGCATGGAGGCAGTGACTGACTTGCTTCGCAAGTCAGTCACTGCTCTCCTTATGCATTGCTATGGGCAGGCCCCAACTAGAAAATTCCTGAAGAAATTTAACCGGGCCTGCCAAAGTGTGCCCGTCGATTTTGACCCAGCTTTCTGATGCTAAACATTAGCATCCATGCTAAAGAAAGCTGCAATGTCATCAATACAATGTGGAGAGTCACAAGCATGACTTACTGCATTCAGTACACTAAATATGGGTAATAAGTAAGGGAAATAGCTAATACCTCATGCAAGGTAAAAGGCTAATGCTAATGCTCTGCCTTGCTGCGCAAGGCAGAGCCCTAACCTGAGTGGAAAAGATCATGCAGGATAATCTTATTGCACTGCCTATGGCAGTGCACTGATGGGAAACAGAGAAATGCTAATGTTTGTGCTAATGCTAATGCACTGTCTTGCTGCGCAAGACAGTGCCCTAACTTGAGAGGAAAAGATAATGCAAGCTAATATCATTGCAGCGCCTGCGGCGCTGCATTAGCCACGGCCGAATCTTAAGGCTTTTATTTTGAAATGTTCAGAATGTTTAATTTTAAATGGTCAATGTAATCCCATGTATAACAGTGATTTGGTTAAATCAGACATAAAATGGTCAAAAGAGCACTTAAGTGATGGGAAAATTGTCAAGGCTTTTATTTTGAAAATTTTTTAAAGCTTAATTTAAAATTTTCACACTAATTCCATGTGTAACAATGGTTGGTTAAAAAGAGTTATAAAAGGCCCAAAACACAAGCAGTTCTAAAGTCCAGCTTTTTCCTCTGAGTTCTGCCATGTTAGAACTACAGTGATGCGTTTTTTGTAGTCCTAACCACTGGCCCTGCTGTGTTCCATTGCTATGGTAATGGATCCTCTGCCAGCTGTGAGTCAGACAGGGGGAGACATAATTCTATCAGTTTGTGGCAGCCATTTTGCCTAAAATAGGCATGAGCCAGAAAGAGTCTTAAGGCTTTTATTTGGAAATTTTCAGTAAGCTTCATTTTAACTTTCCAAAATAATCTAAAGTGTAACAGTGGTGTATATAAAAAAGTCACATAATCCCCAAGAGAGCAATTCCATAATATAAACGAATGTCAGGGCTTTTATTTTGAAATTTTAATTCAACTTAATTTAAAATTACCACACTAATCCTGTGTGTAACAATGGTTGGATAAAATCAGTTATAAAATGCCCAAAACACAAGTAGTTCTAAAGGCCAACAACTTACTCAGAGCTCTGCCATAATAAAACTACAGTGATGCGTATTTGTAGTCCTAACCACTGGCCCTGCTGTGCTCCGTTGCTATGGTAATGGATCCTCTGCATGCTGTGAGTCAGACAGGGGGAGACATAATTCTATCAGTTTGAGGCAGCCATTTTCACTAAAATAGGCATGAGCCAGAAAGGAATATTAAGGCTTTTATTTTGAAATTTTCAGTAAGCCTCGTTTAAATGGCCCCAATCTATTCACATGAGTAACAGTGATTGTGTTAAATCAGTTCTAAAATGCTCCAAACAGCAATTGATATAAAAATTGTCAAGGCTTTTATTTTGAAATTTTCATTAAGCTTAATTTCATTAAGATTAATTAAACTTAATTAACACTAATCCCATGTGTAGCAAAGGTTGGTTAAAATCAGTTATAAAATGCCCAAAACACAAGTAGTTCTACAGGCCAGCTCCTTCCTCAGAGCTCTGCCACAGTAAAAACTACAGTGATGCGTTTTTGTAGTTCTAATTAGCTGCTCGGCCCTGCTGTGCTTCGTTGCTATGGTAATTAATCCTCTGCAACTGTCATGTGTGTGAGACAGAAAGAATTCTATCTTTGTGAGACACCCAGTCAGTTTTGACTGAAAAAAGCGGTCCAAACAACTCCTTCCCATTCGGAAACCGTGATACGTATCGGAAAACCGTTTGAAGCGTATAAGAGGGCTATCTTTCGTCTCCGATAGTCCCGCTATTCATATCTGTACATCACTCACATTAATAACAGCGACAAGATAAAATGGTGTGCGCTGAGGTCTGACATTTTTCAGAAATACATGGAAGTGATCCTGGCTGAGCGAGTCGAAATCCTGTCGCATCACTTTGCTCTGAAGCCCCTAGACAGAAAACCATAAGCCCTAGAAAAATTTTGAAAACATTTTACCGGAGCAGGCATGCGTATCTATGTCATGACCGAGTTTGATACCGATAGGGCGATATTTGTGGGCGTGATGGCGATTTCAAAATTTATTTGGGGTCAGAATCGCACTGCTTCCCACACTCTAACGAAACGTCAGTTACACTCTAGTTTGGGCAGTTTCTAACTGACAAGAATTTTTTGATGGTTTTTCGCTTTTTACTTTTTTATCGTAACTCCGAATCCCACCAAAAGTAATAGCTCCAATGCCGGGAACGAGCCGCACGTTTTGATACCACTTTTGTGGGTGGGCTCGCAGCGGTGCGAGCCGCATTCCGGTCTACGGAAGAAAATAAAGTTCTATAATAATAATAATAAAGAGGCGTTCTATTAGGTGAAGAACAATAGGTGCCTGCCATGCAATGCATGGAGGCAGTGACTGACTTGCTTCGCAAGTCAGTCACTGCTCTCCTTATGCATTGCTATGGGCAGGCCCCAATAAAGAGGCATTCTATTAGGTGAAGAACAATAGGTGCCTGCCATGCAATGCATGGAGGCAGTTACTGACTTGCTTCGCAAGTCAGTAACTGCTCTCCTTATGCATTGCTATGGGCAGGGCCCCAATTACAAATCGGACTGCAAGACTTCCAATCTCCTGGTTGATGATTGCGTGGTTTGAACGCCCCGCCTTCATTGTTTGTAAACACATGCAGTCCTCAAAGACGGAAACATGTCTTTACTTACTAATAATTCCTATTTTTTGTTAATATCAGAGCTTTACCGTCAACCTGGCAAACAGTTCTTGCTATTTCGTCACATCACAGAAGAGTCTAATCCTTCACAGCAGAAGCTGTCGCTAAGGCATCCATTAATATCCTCGAAAATCCAACGGTTCGCCGAAGAGCTAACGATTTGCTCCGGTTAATTGCGTACGTACACGTACGCTCGAGCAGTTAATTGTGAAAAATCATCTTAATAATGCTTGCATAAAGATGGAGGGTAGCACTGCCAGGCTCTGTGAGCGATGAATGACCCGCCTGACAGAGAGCCGGCGGGGAGCAGCCTGCTGAGACAGCCGATGGGGCTGCAGCTGTCATCTACAGACTGCTGCTTGTACACTGAAAGTTTATATAGCAAACGCATCACCAATTCCGGATATACTTTTAGAATGCATTAGCTAATTGATACGGAAATAATAGCCAGTTTTGAGAGCTAGCTAAATCCGTCTATAACCGCTGGCTCAAGAAGCTAACGGTAACGCTGATGATAAAAAAAAAGTCCGTTTTAGAAAGCACATGAAGGCCAGTAAAATGTCTTAAATATACAAAAAGCTGTCTGTAATTACCTGTCTTGAGGTGGGTTGACGGCCGCTTCCATTGGGTTGAGGGCGGACTTTTATTACCATCAATTTCTCTCCTTTTTTCAACCGCTGTTGTCGCTGCTGTTCAACCTCACAACCACTACGCAGCTCTGAAATGAAATGGCGACTGACTGCTTCCGCTTGAATCTCTAAATACTCGTCACGTGGCAGTGTTGCGTCTGTCCGGTGACGTTAGCTGAAACTCTGGGTTGTCATTGGCTGGTTGGTGTTGTCTGTCAAAAACACCTAGCGCATCAGTTCACTGAATCCAAGCTGTCATGCTGCTGTGGTTGCTTTATTTTGAGGTTGTTCTTTCTTTATAGATATAAAGATTTTTGTTGGCCTGTACAACAACTTTTGAACCCGAAAAGTCTTTAGGCATGCATATTCCATATTTTTCATTTTGAAACCCTTATTTTCCCGTGTTCTCAGCCCTGTCTTGGGCAAATACTAAAGTTTAAATTTAAACGTTTACTCTGAATACGATATATATGTTTAGTCATAGATCTCGTAAAAACAAACACACACACACACACACACACACACACACACACACACACACACACACACACATAAAGCACAATAATTAAAGGTTAAAAAAATATGTTCTAAGACATTACTCAAAAATCAGTAATCATTAAATCAGATAGTCCTAAATATTGTCCTGCAAAAGCAGCATGGAGAACCTCTTAATGTGCTACCATTGTCAAAAGTCTCCATTGTTTTTTTGTTTTTTTTATTATTATTGGTGTACAAAGTGATCAGATACATAAGAATTTAATTGTGGAGCTTTATTAACTTAAGACATTCATTTTTGATGAAAAAAACATTTCAATCAATAATTTCCCAAAATTTCAGCCAACTTGAAAAGCTAAAGTTGCAAATCAAGCTGATTATAAATCTAACTAGCAGAAGGGAGAGGGGATGGAAGTGACTGTAAAATTAAGAACAAGAAAAAGTTAGTTCCATATAAAGGTGTGGACTTGCATAAAAATGGCCTCACAAGAAAAGTTTTACACCAAATTGTTTGCTTACTTCTCCCTCTGTGTTGGTTAGGACATTTGGGAAAAAAATGTTTGAAGAAAAGGTTGAGTTCCCACTATATATATATATATAAAAATCTGTTGTACCCCCAAAAAACATTTTTTACAAACTTGGGTTTGTAAAAAAATGTAGCTGTTTTTAGCTGCCTAAATTGATATTATTTTGAATGTCAATTGCAAAGAGGAATTAAACAACCTTGTTAATGATCACAAAGTACATAAATAGATATATTTTCCATGAAGATTAAATGTTAAAAAACAGAAAAACAAATAATAATAAAAAAGTTTATTCTTATATGTTTGTTTGAATCCAACAAAGTAATTTCACATCAAAACATTTTAAAATTTTACAGTAAGAGTAAAAGACAGAAAAGGTACTCAATCAAAAGAACAGAATACTTTTCAAAATAAGACATTTCTTTACATCTGTTTTGTTAGCAGATGGAAAAATGAGATTACTGCATTTCTTATGTTGATAAAAGTGTTTATGAAGATCACTTGAAACTCTTCCAACTAAAGTAGTTGTTGGGGTGATTTTGAAGCAGGATATTAGAAAGCAACCAGGCTAAAGAAAAAAATAAATAAATAACTCCCATATTTGAAAAAAAGAGAATAATAGAACCCACAGCTTCAAATTGATCTTGAACACCCAAGTGAAAAAAAGGTTATTGATCAGACTGAGTAATATTTCAACATTGCTGGAACCATGTGTAATGGTGATTAGAGGTGATTCATGAATGCCTTTGATTTTTGTCCTTGTGGTACACTAGGATAAAGTCTGTTAGAAGTGTTTCAAAAATATGTATATTTGTATTTGCAAGCATGATATTGGTGATTAGATAAACATGATTGCAAAATTTAAAAAATGGACAGAAAAACATTATTTTTCTGTTTTTATTGTAAAACTTGTTTTTTGATTATTATGGAGTTTCTGAAGTTATCCATAGTATTTTACTGTGCCATCTAACCAGCTCAAAAATGTGAAATATAGAAAAAAAACATATAGAAAAAAATGACCACATAATGTTACGTGAGAGGAACCTTTCTACCTGCTGGCCTGGCCCAAAAGAGACGGCTGATAAGGCCTCAAATTTGTTGTGAAAATAATAAAAGATAAGGTTATATTTTAGTCTTCGTAGCATTTGTAGCATTAAAAGAATGGTCGGTTTTCTCTTGCACTCCTACAATGGAAAAGTCAAGTCAAGTGAAAGTAAAAGTTAAATGAGTTTTACTTACTTTTACTTCCCCTTTAATGCCACGGGACACCAGTGTCCTCATGGATGCATTGACTTACATGTAAGGATTTTGGAAGTGACAATTAAGGGGTTAAATAAAATCTCTGATCAAAACAATCCACATTTTTTAAAATTAGCAAAATGTTGTCAAAAGTATTGTGGTATTTTTATGACTATATACCAAAAAATGGATAAATTAAACAACGATGCATAAGGGAATCTGCATCTGCAGAGCAGATAATTCTTCTCACGATTGAAACATGTCAGTTGATGCTTTTAATTGACATTTCATGTATCAAGCTGAAATGTGCCATGAATGAAATAACGGTTTGCTGGACTTCGGCTGCTTTTAAACACAATAAACAGGATTGATGGGGCCATGTTTTTTGGAGAGTTGGCTGCTACAGAAGAGATTCCAATACTGTAGATTAACAGAAGATATTAGAGCCACATTCTTTCAAGCACCTGAAAATCTACTTTTTTTCTTTCTTTGCATCTTTTTTTCTAAAAAGGTACAAAATTATTTTGTACCTTTTTCCATATGCTGCATATGGAAAGAGTTCAAGGCGTAATATGGAATTTCTTAGCCTTGCCGTGAAGCAGAACAAGCTCAGGCATGTACCTTGTCTGTTTAAGTGCAAGATTATTTAAAATAAGTCTGTACTTTCTCCTGTGCCATTTCCAATGAACAATATAAATAAAAGCCTAAATAAATTAACCGCCCATATTTGTCTTTTAAGTTTCTCTGTTCTGTACAAAATAAATATTTCACAATCAATATTTTAAGGCAGAACATATGTTTTTACAGCAACGTAAAATTTGTGCAGCAGAATCTAGAAGCAGGCCGTTTGACAAAAATGAATTACTCAACATACATGATTTTTTATGTTTTATGGGTTTGTGAACAAAAGATTATGTTTCTTGTCTTCCTATTTCAAGGAGATAGGATCTAAGGATTTAACTTTCTGTTAAAAAATGCTGGTAATGAAAACACTTTTCTTAAAGATGTAGTTCTCTTCCCTTTCAAGGTGCAATTGTCTTATAGAGTCAAACTCAAGCAAATATTTTCAGTAAAAAGTGTTGTTTCATATTAAGAGCATTCTTACCAATATGAGTTTTGTTTAAGTTTTCACCTGAACGCCAAATAGCCACCCCACTTTAAGTCATTTTCAGTCACTCAGACGGGTCACTGCTGCCCACTGCTTTCATCTGTTGGACGTTTGAAGCCCTCTTCCTGTTTCTTTACCATTTCTGAATAAAGGCCACCTTTCTGCAAGAGAGTATCATGACTGCCCTCCTCCTCCACTGTCCCGTTGTTCAGGACAATGATATGACTGGCTGTCTTTGCGACACTCATCTTGTTGGAAATCATAAGCACAGAGCAGTTCTCTGCCAGCTTTAACAGAGCTTCACGGACCTGAGAAGTAAGATAAAAGATTTTTCTTAAAAAAAGAAGAAAAAAATATATAAGCAAATAAATAAAAATTCAGGCAAGTGAATTATTTTGTACCTGGTATTCATTCTCTGTGTCCAAATCACTAGTAGCGTTGTCCAGGATCAGGATTTTCGGTTTTCTAATTAAAGCCCTGGCAATGGCAATGCGTTGCTTTTGACCTCCAGATACTTGACCCCCTTTCTCACCAGCATCTATGCAAAAAAGAACACATACCATTAAAATAATAACATTATTAAGTAGTTAGGAATTTTTCTAGATATAATGTAGAGTATTTGATTGCTGTTCCTGTTGGTACTTCAGAAATTCACTCATACACCATAAAAATGTAACTTACGTCAGAGACAAACAATATGTGGAAAAACAATTTGATTACTATATCAACAAATTAAAAAATATATTTGGAGTTGAGAATGAAATATTGTGAAGCAGTAAAGTGGCCTGTTTGAACAGTCTTATCTTCAATGTAATAACACCACGATGAGTTCCTCTGCTATAGAAAGTAAAAGTGGATCGAACCTGTGTCGTATCCTTTTGAAAGTCCAGTGATGAACTTGTGGGCACTAGCCTGCTCAGCAGCTCTGTACATGTCCTCGTCTGAAGCGTCCTTGCAACCGTACTTGATGTTGTCCCGCACAGATCGAGCAAACAACACGCAATCCTGGCTCACCACAGCAATCTATTAAAAATAGATAAAGAAAGAGGTGTTAGTGGCGATAAAGCGTTGTTTAATGAGCCAAGTATCATGAAGACGTTCAGGAGTAGTTTGACATCTCATTGAACAGTTTTTAATTTGTTACAGATTGAGGATGATCAATTTACTGATTTCTGTTTGCAGATTCTCTCTCTCTCTATACACGTTTGTTTTTTTTTACTTTTTAGTGAGAGAAATGCATTTGTATATATTTTTACGTATGTTTTAATGTATGTTTTTATACATCTTCACATTTCTCACTTTATTTGTTCTCATTGTGTTTTTAATTTAGTCTTCAGTTTCAGAAATTTGACATGTAGGATTAGTACCATGAGGTTTTGCGGGCTCACAGTTTTTGACCACTAATAAGTTTTCACTTTAAATTTGAGAATATTATTGAATGAAATCTAAAGAAGCTCTCTGAATCCATTCCTGATGAATCATATTAACAGATTTATTTTCATGTAGCTATCTGTTACAGCTCACTACAATCTGGCAAGAAAATGAATAGAATATTTGACAGGGTAGTTAAAATATTCCATTTGATTATAAAATGCTCTGTTCATCAGATAATTTTTCCACCTTTTCATGTAGGAACTGGTCTTTGTAGTTTTGAAGGGGTTTCCCATCCAGCAGGATTTCTCCAGACTGAGGTTGGTAAAACCTCTCAAGCAGCTTCACACAGGTCGTCTTCCCTGATCTGTTTAGTCCAACAAGTGCAGTGATCTGCCCCGGCTTTACCTCCAGAGTCACACCCTTTTATGAAAGAAGATTTAGTTTAAAACAAACAGTCTTGGGAAAGATAAGAAACAGCAGAGAGGGGCACACACCTTAAGTATAAGACTGTTCTCATCTGTCTTTCCAGAATAGGAAAAGCGAACATTTTCAAACTGAACATGTCCTTTGAAATTCTCAGGAGCCAAACTGCCAGGAGGAGGTATTTGAGGTTTCCTATCAAGATATTCAAAAATCTTCTCCGAGGCACCAATTGCTTTTTTTACCTCCGGGTAGTAGCGCATGACAGCCTGGAAGAAAAAGAGAGGAGATTAATAAAAAAATCTTTATGAATAAAACAAAACATTTGTCTTTTTAGGGTTTGTGGCTCACCTCAACAGCGGAAGCAAACTGTAGCTCATAGAGAACAAATGAGACCAGGTCTCCACTGCTAACAGCCCCCCGAGTCACCAGGGTCCCACCATAGTACAAAATGCATACCTTCAAGGCCAAAGTTGTCATCTGCAACAACAAAAATGCCAGTTTTCAGAGAATAGTCAGCTGCTTTGTTGTTTCGCAATATGACCTTGATCCCGTTAAAACGCACTAAAAAACAGCCATCTTTGAATTGTGAAAACAGCAGCTAAAACCTTTGCTAGACCCGTTCACTATGGCCAAAGATCCCCAGGAATGTTTGAACTTAATTTCTTTCAAAAACTCTGCTGCTTATCTGCCATCTTACCGCAGTACTATTCACGTGACTTTCCCATCCTTTTTCCAAAATTTTCCATTGTCTCTTACTGTATGCTCCATATAAGAGGTTTCTGGACCTTCACCATCACTTTCAGCCTTACTGAAAGAAATGCTATCAGTGTTATTATCTTATCAGCATCCCAAGAGACTAATGAAACAAATAAAATTGCCAATGTAAGGTCTGAGATTATTTTCTTTTCTACATTAATTTCAGAAGCTAATTTAAATGGATGCTTAAAGCAGAATACATATCACTAATGTACTCACGCTGTTGGCCCAGGTAGAAGCTGCATAAGCTACTGCCTCCTTTTTGTTGAGAGAATATGTTTCGTCCAGTCGCTGTCTGTACTTCTCTGTCTCTCCGTCCTCGTTGGCAAAACTCCTCACTGTCTTCATGTTGGAGAAGGTCTCGGTGGCCACCTGGTTGGCCTTTGCCAGAGAGTCCTGAACCTTTGCAGCAATAGTCTAAACCACGAACACAACAAACTAAATTAGTTTACAGAATAGACCTTTGCAGCATATAAACAAATATCGTCCAGCTTTGGTATGTTTAGGAATTTGTTAGGTGAAAAAAAGAGATTCTGTTTTCTTTGTCTGCTGAAGTGAGCATAAATGCCCACTGATATTATTTACCAATACAATGAATATGTAATGAAGTAACATAGTGTCATGGTAAATTTATAACAATACATCTGATAAAGTTTACAACAAACTTCAACAACAAAAAAAGAAATGCTATTCCAGTTGGAATGTTTCCTTGGGTGACGTCACCTGGTGGAAATGTCCAGTGAGCTCAGGGATGACCCAGATGATGGGAAGTCCCATACAGGTCAGCAGAGTCATTTTCCACGACTGGCTGACCATGAAGTAGAGCAGGAAACCAAAACGAGCCGTGTACCACATCAGGAGACTCAACTTCTCGCTCAGTGCTTCGCTCATGTCGTTGGTGTCCGTGGTAATACGGGACACAAGCTCACCTGAGATAAAACAGAGGTTACAGTCCAACATGAATGCAAGTTTTCAATTGCCATTTTGTTGCATTATTGTTCCCTAATTCTCTCAACTGCAACACTGAGAGTATTTTGAAATCTGTGGAGAATATTATAGAAATAGTTTTATAGGCTCAGACATTTGCACATTGAAATTATTCCTACCTGTGGAAGTGGCATCAAAGAAAGCGATCTCCTGCCGGAGAACGGCCTGGAAAACGGCTCCCTGCACTGAGGTGTGAATGAGGCTCATAGTGATGTTATAGGTCAGGTCGCACATAAACTCAAACACAGCACTGAAACACACAGAGAAGAGGTTGACAGCACACAAAATATCATGGAAGCATTTTATAGGTGGAGTTACAGTGTAATTAATCCCACATGTACAAAAAAAATTGATAAAAGAAAAATAAAGACAACCACATTCACCACATTTTTATCCTTGTAAGTGTTAATTTATGATATGTTATGAGGAGCGTTTGTCTTCTTTCACACAATAAAAATTCTCTTGCAGGTTCTGTGCTAGAAACCTTTTAAATGGCAGGAAAATAATTGGTAATGTCTTATGGCAGTCAAGGAAGCAGAATGTAAATAGTAGATGATTTGTTGTTCTAGAAATAGTCACATTTGACATTAAAATGAACAGTTTTCAGCCTCAAACATTTGTTTGTTGTGACTAATTGAGAAAAATTAGTTGATCTTGATACTTAAAGCACTCCACTCAAAAGCAATACAAGAATAATTTGTAATTTCAACACAAACCAGTATCAAAACCCTTCCATCTGCTTGTTTATAATCATCAAATTGACACGGTTTTTGATTCCTGGTGATCTGCAACTGCAGTGTGGAGTGAATGATGGGAATATATAATGCTAGATGGGGTCAAAATAAGCCCACTTTGACAAGAAAACTTTTGGTGTCTAGTTGGTCATATTCAATCCACCACCAGGTGTACCACAACATGTTCAAGAGATGCCACATTAGCAACTATTTATTTAGCATTTTGATATTGAGAAAAGTTCTTTGTAGCATTTTGTATTGCATTATAATAAGGAAAAAATAACTGGAACACTTTTTTCTCACTCAGTTAAAACTAAAAATGTTTTAAATATTTTAAACTTCACAAATTAAGTTCAAATAAATTCTACTTTTTTAAAATGAAATCATCTGTGGAAAATTTTGCCTGGCTGTGTGTACTTTGTTACCTCACAGCATCCTTCTTTTAGTCTGAAAATAATGTCTGAACCATGACTCAAATTAAGATGTTCATATCAAACTGTAATTTTACAGTTAGCTATTAATCCACAATCCTTCAGGAGTTATTTTACCATATTACATAATTTCACTCCCTTTTCAAGACACCTGATAGGCTATTTCTTCTACTATTTTAGCAATAAATAGGCCTGTGCGAAGAAGTCTGAAAATAAATCCAACATCTTCCTGCTTTAAATAAAAATGTAAAAAACATTTCACATATTACTATTATAGTAATTAATAAAAATGAGCATGAAGAAAATTTGTGATGACAGATTTGATGCTCTACCTGGCGAAAGTCAACACTGTCATAATTGTGATGGCCTCGGAGAATGCATCGGGTGCTTCTTCATTTATGATCCAGTCCGCCATACGACCAGTGTACTGGGGAATAGCCATCTCGCCTGCGGTTAATCGTTAAAAATATTACTGTGTAAACTTTTGCACTCCACGAAGCTCAACAAAACACTAAACAAAAACCCTGAAACAGAGGAGATTTTATAGAAGAATGTTGACCAACGTACCGTAAGATGACAGAACAACAAGAGCCAACACCACAACGAAGCGAGCAGAATATGGCAGCATGTATCCCATGAGCCTCTTCAGAGAGTCTCTACTGTCCGGTCCAGGCTTCTCCTTCTTCTGTAATGTAGTTCTGGTCATAAAGGACGAGATGTATCGACTCCAGTAGAGCCATGACACCGCTGTAACGGCATAGCCCTGTAACACCTGCAACACAAAATATGACATTGATTTTTGAGCTTCAGATTTCTGAAATAATTTAAAACTGACTGTTTGAAGTACTTTTATTAAATGACAAGCGACATTTTTTAAATGCTAATGTGATAACTGCAGTTTTACACACTAAATTAGTTTTGGTTTCAATCTTCTGTCTTCTGCAGACTTAGGTTCAGGACATGTTGGCAGCAAATGATTTCATTTCAGGTATTATAACTCCAGCCTGCGGTGGTATTTGGATATATTGCACGGGTCATTTTTCTCTGCACTGTCCTATTTTTAAAGTACCTGAGGCTCAGCGAGGTGCATGTTCATATGAGAGCATCGAATCATGACTGCTGTTCACTTTTGTAGAAGTCAACTCAAGCCTGCTGTTTTTCACCTGACAAACTTGAGCTCTGTATACTATAAAATGGTTTAAGACAAACATTTTTTTTATGTTGCAACATTTTCCCCTTTGGGCTTGAGTTTGTTGTTTGTGTGTGCTTTATTTCTGCCACTGGTGAGACCTGACATTCTATGACTTCACTTGCTTTAAGCTGAAAGCTACAATGATGTCTCATGTCCTAACCACATCCCAGCACTGCTGATTTGGTCTACATTTTACTTTGTTGTTACTCTACAGAAGTGTGCTGCAGGCAGGAATCTACGCTAGAAGAGCAAAGGGCAAAAATATTTAGATAAGAGCAGTTTTAATAGGAATTAAAGCTGCATTTTCCAAAATGTTGAAGGTCCCATCAGCATGTAAATATAAATTTATAATACTATTATCCAATAATTATTGCACGGCAAAGAGTTATTTCTGATATGAATATTGAACATAGTGATATTGTTAAAAATTCACAATATATTGTGCATAATAAAGGCTTTCCTGCCTTTTTCACTCAAGCAAGCTTTGGAACACCATATTATTTGTTTTGGGAAATGTTCAAAAACTAAAATCTTTTTTTATGTATATCAGTCACCACATTAATATACACACTGAACACAAAACAATAATCAGACACACTCACCCGTTCCCAGGAGTGCCATCCCCACAGTTCTTCAACAGTGGATTGCCCCAGCTGCCAAAGGAGAGTGGTGTACACCGGAAAATGGAAGCAAAGGACGGCTATGCTTTGAAGTCCCTCAAAGCTTCTCACCCATGGGAGGCCTCCGGGGTAAGTGAAGGCAAGAAAAGCCAGGATGAAGGCCCTGGTCAGAGCTCCCCCCCACAAGGTGATGAAAGGATGGGGGAGGAGGAGAGGTGACAGCTGTGCCAGACGAATGGCGTGCACGGCGCACACGTCCATGCAAATGCAAACCAGGGGGAAGAAGTAGCTCATTTTCTGCATTACGGGTAGATACTGCAAAAAATAAACACACACAGAGAGATAGGCTCAGCTAGAAAACAAACAGTAGACTGAATAAGAAAAATATTTTGATTCGAATCCTCACCTTTCAGAAATAGACAGTTTCTCTCATTTGGGGAAATAATATTGCTTAAGACAAAGTAATAGGACGTATATTAAAGCAGTCAAATATATCTGTGTGAAGCCATTTAATGTTCTACTTGCCTACCTAAGCTGTCTGGTACGATTCCAGCCATGCCTACCATTTCAGGTGGACTGAACAATGCAGTGTTAAAGCTTAGGATTTTGTTTTAATACTTCTCCACCTTATAGTCTTTTTTACTCCTTATGGTCTTCATTACATTGTTTGGTCTCCAATATTCTATAGAAAACCTCTCTGACCTCAACAGGTCAGATTAATTTACAAACAGGTGGAATCTTCCTAATTAGGTATCAATTCAAAGCAATGTGTTGCTCTGTATTTAATTAAGGGATGTCGGAGTAAAGGGGGTCTAACTTTGTGAATATGACAACAGACAAACAAGAACACCTTTTCGCATAGATGCTTTTACTTTCACTTTGATCAATAAAATTTTGTTTTGTTTTTTTACTTTCGTTTTTATCTACATCTATCTGCAACACTGTCCAGCTTCAGTCAGGATAATACGGACAAAACAAGTCAAACTCCCAGGATGTATATCATAATTTACTTCAGACAAACCGTAAATATGCAAGCTGCGGCGAGTACAGTAGCTAACACTGGTAAGCTAATGTTACTCGCCGAAACCCAGCAGACTTACTTGAATTCCTCTCCACAAGGTGAATTTGCTGCTTCAGAGACCTGACAGGCTCCGATAGTCAACGTGAAGTGTCCAAAATAAAGCTGCAACGCTTCTGACCCCGACAGGCTGCTAGGAACGTGTATGAGCCAATCGATCTGATAAGGGTGAAACTGAAACCAACTATTTATATCTCTATATCGGAAAGTCCCCTGCAAGTCTGCCAAACAATGAAGCCCAACTCATAGGTGTTATTTAGGAGAATACGGCTTTAGGAGAATAAGGTGTTCTTTTCAATCCAATAAATACAAGTATACTACTTTACCTCACTGTTTCAAGACGTTCAGGTTGTCGCAAATAGTCCCACAGCGACCCCACGTGGTCACTTTCTAGAACTGCACTTTAACGTGGTCACTGGAGTCAATTTCCTGCTTACCAATGTGTTGGATAAGTGTAAAGTATCCGACCAAGAGATGACTCACGTACGAGTAAAGAATTATTTCAAAACTGATTGAAAGACTAAGTTGAAGAAAAATTTTTTTGGAAAAAACACAATTACAAAGTAGGAAATTCAAGTAGAAGAAAATTACTCCCTTTTACTGTGTTTGACCCACACATAGCAGAACAGGCTCAGCAGGTAGAAAAGAATGAAAAAGCAACAAAATAAGTCTGTTTCAGCATAAACTTTAGGTGTGTGTGTGTCTCATGGACGTTTGGTTTAAATGTATTTGTTCTCCATTCAATTAATTTATTCACCGTGGGTAGACTATCCAGAACTTTATACTCAAGTAAGAGTAGCTGTACCTTACAGTAATACTCACGTTATGTACTCCATAAAAATAGTTAGTCAATACAAACCTTGACAAAAAGTTGGTGTGAGCACAATATAATCTGAAATTTATTGCTTCTGTGAAATATTTTTTGTTGTTTCTGTTTGTTCTGTTACGTTTTTTTGTTTTGTTTGTTTGTTTGTTTTTTACATTTGCTGTTTCTAGCATCCAAGTAACAGGATATCCTAAAATTGTCACCTAGCTAAGTGACAGCCTGCTTTGCTTTTCTTCCAGTCTGGCTTTTACTGCTGTTTTTGTCATCTGGATTCCTAAAACACTTTGAACTTTGACAGCTTCCTTCCTTATTTCCCTTCTTTCATGTTCGAAGGATGGCAGAAGTAAAGAGATAAATGGTTGTACTATTTTAAGCTCTTTTTCTAGTTACCTATAAATCACCCAATCTGGTGTGTTTGGGTTTGACATCCTGAGCATAAAATAATTTTAGTACAAAAATATGTATTTTCTTGCATTTCTTATTTATGTGTGTGATGTTATACTTCTATCATGTTCAAAATAGAATAATAAATAAATAAATAAGTTATGGCTCAGAGTTTTCCTTTATTAAGTTATTATTAGAAATTTTGACTAACCTAACAGTGATGTTTTTGGGTTGCTGAAGAAAGTTAGAATACTGAGGAAAAAATATGAATGTGGAGAAAATCCAGACTTCTGTAATCATGCATTACAGAAGAAATCAAATTCAAACCTTAGAACTACTACATCTGAATTTATGTGATAGAACTGAAGCTTTGTTGCTTAGCAGAATCTGATCAAGTGTAAATGAAAAAAATGCCTCAATGACAAATTTTAGAGTTTCAAATAAGAGTCTACATTAGTGGTTCTGTTGAAAAAACTAACAAAAACAATTAGTCCTTTTTTGTCACTGAATCAATGTTCTGAAATTAAAGATTGTATTTTCAAAAAACATTCAAGGTGATATTCAACTAGAGCATTAAATGGTTGATCTATTTTGAGGTTTTAAAACTGCATTTTTTCCTGGGGTGGCAATAAATTTGGATGGCACAGTAATTCATAAAAACACATTTGATAGGGAAAATACAAGACTGTGCAAAATATAGATAAGTCATACTGTAAGCTTAATCAAAAACTAAAGCTATACATTTAAAGTCTGACTGTGAAAAAACCTGGGACCTGGTTTCTCTGTTGTTTTGTGTCTTTGGACCGGAAATATACAGGTCCTCCAATATCCCATCTTACTTAGCTGCAGGGTTGCAGGGGCGTAGACGCCTTGTCCATGATGGAAAAATAAAGCTATCTTTTCAAAATATAACACAAAGAACTATAAAATATGCATTGAAAGCTGGTTCCATAAACTCAGAAGGGTTGGATATATTCAGGCACTCCACACTTCTTAGAATAAGATTTAGAAATAAATGAAAAACTATGCCTGAATTTTCTTTTATATAAAATATAAACAATACAAACAAGATACACCGATGCTTGTGGGTGTAATGCAACAAAATGTGAAAATGTGAAAGGGATGACAAAACATTTGCAAGATGCTGTAAGAGTCTGGCTGTAATCAACCATTTGTTGTTGAAATTAAATAAATTCAAAGAGTTCAAAATTTTAGAGAACACTGGTAATGAAAAAAGGCCAAGATTTTTCTGCATTTCATTGTCATTGAATTTTGTCAAGAATCAAAATGAGATCAGCCTAAGAACATTTGTGACATCTTACAGAAAGGGCATGGTCATTATTGCTCGATACGTGTGTGTGCTTAGATTCAAAAATCTAATTCAAACCACCCTGCGTCCTCACGACATGAAGAAATAGCCCTCCTAGCAGTTCTCCAGTCACATTACTGCAAAAACACACACAGAGGCACACAGGGGTTAGCGCCCTTCCTATTCTTCTGCACACAGTGGCAGGAAGTTGTCCAGATATCCGCAGGGCCTCTGAAAAAAAAGGAGTGAGCGAATAGAGTGAGTAGGGTGGTTGATGCAGCGGTGATGACATTTGGTGACTTCACTTAGCGTGAGCAGCAAGACCTCAAGATGTTCTTGATGTGATGGATTAGGGATAGATTAGAAGAACTTTCAAACCCAGGTTTACTGAAGAACGTGACGTAAACATGCTGAGTCTCAAGATGTTTGTCCTGTTGGGATTGAGTTGCACGTCTCAAGGTGAGTTTGACAAAATATTTCATAATATCATATTTTAATGTACCAGCTCTCTGTTTTCCTGTCCACATAGCTGGAGATCCTCAAATAGGAGTCTAAGAAAATGTACTGTGGGAAAAAACTGATTCTCATTTTAACTCCTATTACTGTTCTGCTAAAGACTAAGTGAATATTTTGGCTTCACTATCTTTAACAGGTTTTCTGAGATTCTCTAAATATGTATTTACATAAAAATGAGGGTTAGTATTTAATTTCTTTTCAATCACAGATAGATATTTTACTGATGAAATGAATCATAGTGAAGTAGCCGTCTAATTTCAGCTCTATTGTCAACGGGCTCTTTTCCCTTTATGGTCTTGCTAACACCTGCCAAGTCCATTGTCCAACTCCATCACATTCCACATTGCCTTGGTGACAACCTTCGACCTTTATCAAGTTCCCAGCCCACTTCGTTTCCTTTGGCTATTCGCTCCTTCTGGAAACTTCCTGTTTATGTCGGGCCCATTTCCTGTCCCCTTTAGCTGGCTGTATTGCGACCCACCTTGCGTGGCTTGACCTGCATTGTGGTGAATAGTTGCTGATGGTTTGAAACAATGAGTAGTTCAATGCATGGGAGAACCAGCCATCTGATAAAAACACTTTGGTTTGAAAACCTAAGGTTATGTACACAAATACATGAACCCCGCCCCAGCTGTTTGGGTTAATTTATATTTGCACAGTTAGGTGTGAATGTGGGGGTATTGTTCTCCCAGATTATTCTTTCAGAAATGCACTAATTAGGCATGACATTATGACCTCTTTGCCCTCAAAATGATCAGAAAAATTATTTAACGAATGTACCAAACTAAGGATTTGAGAGAGTTTGCCAAGGTAAAGTTGTGCCAGTTTTGGTTAGACAATATCCAAAACTGATGTGATTGTGGCGTGTTTCTGGTTTGTATTGATTAAAGTCTACCAAAATCAATCCAGGTAAGGCACCATGGTGAACTGTTGTCAGAAACGGTGTTGCCCTTTGGTCTGTATAGTTGTGGGTCTCTCAGAGTGCATGATTTGTATTTTTTTTTTTTGTTGAATCCTGAAGTGTAAAATAGACTTCAGTGGAGTTTTGAAAACAAAATATGTATACAGGTTTATGTCTGGTTGAACGAAGCGTGTGTCTGCTTGATATTTTTTTTCTTTTTTGGGGGGGATTTTATTGTAATCCATGGAGGGGCAGAAGAAAATCTTTGGGAACCACTGACTTAAAAGATAGCAAGCCAGTAGAGTCAGTGTGATGTTTTATAAATGCTCTATTTAACTTGATACATACCACCTCTTTAATCATTGTTGCACACCATGTAAACAATCTGTAAAAGGGTATGTATATATTCTGGTGCCTTTGACCTCTTCCAGCAGGATAATGTTCACAGCCGTAGAGTAAAACTGGTTCAGGAATATCTCTTAGGGAAGAACTAAGAGATGTTGCTTTGGCGTGCAGATATTAATCAAATCAAGTACCTGTGGGTTGATTAATGAAAGACAAATGGTTGTTTTGACTGTTTTGGTGCCAGATACCACAACACACAATCAGGGGTCTAAAAAAATCCACTCCTGAAAAGGACATGAGTGTTTTAATAGCAAAAAGTTCATCAACAGATAGGAGGGCAGTCACAATATTACGGCCTGCTAATGTACATGCACGTTGTTTTCAGATCGATCAGTCTGCTGCATTGATCTGCAGCTGACATGGAAATTAGCTCCAGTATGCAATTAAATACAATATAAAACCAGTTTGTCTCTGAGTAAATTTATGCATGAAAGGTATATTTCAACAAGCTTCTAATTGCTGTTTGTGTCAGCTTTTCATTCATCCTAATCAGTATCAATTTCAGCAGCTGGGTCCAGTGATCCGTGGGACCAGTGTCGAGAGAACAATTGCAAGGAAAAGTTTGGAGATGGGACATGTAACCGAGAATGCATGGAGTCACGTTGCCTTCGAGACGGATTTGACTGCCTGAAAAAGCGTGATCCCTGCAAGTAAAAAAAACCTTACTGACTAAATTAACTTTTTTGAACTGTAAATTATGGAAACCCTTTTATCTTAATAAGGCAGATTTTAGTGATGTAAAATAAGCATCTCCTCTTCTACTATTAAGATGTTACATATTAGCAGATGATGAAAAAAGATTACCTGGTGGATTTATTTTACATACGATCTGGTACAGATATTTGTAAAATTAAAGGGTGTGCTTAAACACTTTATTATTATGATTCTATTTTTTCTGTCACTGACTCATCTTTTCTTCTCATCTCTTTGTTCCCCATTCATCATATCTCTCAGTCCAGGACACACTCAGTACTGTCG